AATTAATATTAACATTAACGCGAGGTTATTCAATAAACGGAAGAACTGAGAGAAGAGTTTTGGAAACAAATTAAATGGGCTTTATTGCTGTATATTGTAAAAGATATAATTCTATTTGTATTGAATTTTTAAAAAAGATAAAAAAGCTACGGTTAAGATATATCCTATTGAAAATAAGTAATAAATATTGTGTGAAACATTGTTGAAAAATTGAAGATATATCTGGATATAACAACTTATACAAAATCAAATACTAGAAATACAAAGATGCTCCTTGCAGTTTGGTAATGTGATAATTAAGCAAAGTCCTTGCAAGCGAATTTCACAGTCGCTGAAAGAGCAGCTTATTAAACCGAACGTTTCGCCATTTGCATATTTAAATTTCCATTTCCGCGAAGCTCTTGCCCTGGCAGAACCACCAGGTTAGATAGGAAAACCGCGAGAAGCGACCTTTTATCTCATTTCGTACCTCTTATCAGGTACATTGATCTCTCTCTCTCTCTCTCTCTCTCTGCTCCTCATCGGTACGCCTCCTGTTTACTTTCAAATCTATGAGGATCAATCTTTGACTTGTCGAACGATATCATTCAAGATTTTCTTTGTTCAATAATCTTTAGTGAGATTATCAAAATAAAAATATAACGCCAGCAACTTCAACGCAATTATCTTTGTAAATGTAAATAGATAAATAGATAAAAATTATCTTTAGACTTTATAAATAGTTTAATTAACTCAGCTTTATAAATAAATTACGCAACTATTTTCCTTATTTCAAATAATTTCTATTACAATTTAATAAAATAGAGATTTTCCTTTACTGACAAACGGCTTATCGACTTTCACTGTAATTTCGTATAATTTTAGTTGCTTACAAGATTGAAACTTTTTTTGTACAATAGTTCCATTATATCAACCGTAAAATTAATTAAATCATTCGTTAGGGGAAATGGCCCTCCGTTATTCAGTGAGCCGCACACCAAGCTGTTGAAGGTCGCTTAATTGAATATTCAAAAAACAATATGTACCGTGGCGGAGATAACGACCACTTTAAATGATTGGTCCACCGTGGTAATTACAGTCGCCCTCGGGTGTTTAAATTAATAATTAATAACCACCGACGCGTTGTACCTTTGTTAACTAACGCGATCGTAATCGCTAATTATTTCGACTCTGTGACCGCTAATTCAATAAAATTTAGCTCGTTTTAACTGTTTAAGCTGTCGGAAATATATTTTCTGAAACGGCATAATACAACGGCATAAAAAGCAGCGGAAAAGGCGAATGTCTCGTTTTGTAAAAAAAAAAAAAAAGATTTATGACAATTATTTCGCGTTCCGCTCACTAAAAAGAAAATATTTGACAACAAAATAGTTGCGTTAAAATAAGAGACAGACGTGGATTCTGCGTGAATTCGATAGGAATAAATACGCGCTACCAATATCGAATTATTATTTCTTGTGTTGCCCGCTAATTGAATAAACGTTTCTCTCTTTCACTACCTTTTTTCTTTGATCAATTTATCAGACGTAAAATGTAATCGTTCAGATCGACTGTTTTATTCTACTTAATGAAGTAACAACGTACTTTTATAAATAATACGCAACATATTTATAATATAATCATTCGACAGATTTTTATTACGAGATGCTTAGTAAAATTATGATTATTTATTCAAACAATTTTTTACCATTCGAGATAATTTCGTTTCGCGATGATACTATATGATATCAATGTGACGATTATCTAGCAATTTTTTCTCTGAACCATCCTCGTTGCACTAAATCAAGGACACCTGTTCGTAAGCACATCGTATAGCACACTTGCGCTGGTGTGGTGGCACCTTTATCCAAGCCGTTAGTTACGGACGCGACTCGCGGTGTGTCAGTAACAACAGGCACCCACGAAGTTTGCCCACCTGTCCTGATAATGTCGGTTAATATCATGTAAATTGTAATTAATATTCATGGGGTTAATTCGCTACCGCGGTCGGCCCGACGCCGCTGCCGCCGCCAGGACGAAGTTTTAGCGAAAATTTACGGTCACCGCGAAACATATTTCGGACGTACCGCAGGTACTGTTTAGTTACGGCCCTACGACCCGGTTTCGTTCGAATAAATCACGTCGATCTTCAAGACGGATTTTAACAAAACTATCAATTTGTTGCTCGGCGTAATTGCTTATAAATAGTTGGACGTAATATTTATATTAGCGTCGAATCACGCTAATATAAATATAAATATGATAAAGAAATAAAGAAAGTAGACGAAGATAATAAGTAAAAAGGTGCGGCGCAAATAAAATACACATATGTAACGTTTCGAAAATATCTCTGGCAAAATGTATCGTTATTCATATACATATATTAGGTTAAGTAAAAAGTCATCGCGTTTTTTCAAAAGACATCTATCAGTAAAAACCGCAATTACTTTCTTACCAACAATACAAATATATCTTGATAGAGTAAAGTTTCAGCTTTAAAAATCTCTTTTTTAAATTATACGATACGACAATTTTTAATGGAGTTATGAGCAATTAAAGTCAAAATAATTCTTTTATTTAATCCGCGATAACTCAGTAATCAAAAGTCGTAGGAATATTTAAAAAAAAA